AGGCCACGTGGCACCATTTGAAATTCAAAAATTAAATAATCAACTGCCCAAATTGACAGTCACGATCGAAGCCATCCGACGATTCACGAACGGCCGCGTAGATGCCACGCGGCAAAGTAACCGCCCTTTCCACTGAAGCGATGCGACGCGCCACGCGAGCCAATCAGACGGGGACACGTGTAAAGGACCCTGAAACGGCACGACTTTTCATGGCCGACAAGAATGGCAACGGCCATATCGCATTGATGGACGCGTCGCTTCAGCTCGCGTCATCAATGTACCAGGAACAGGGAAAATGTGACTCAAGGGAATCAGAGACGCCGAGATGAAATTTGGCAAACTCGGGACTGGGCATCAGAGTAGCGACCTCGGACAAGATGTTGGGAAACCTCCTCTCCGAGCTCGGGGGCCTGTATGTTGATAGCCGAGTTAGCCCAGACTGAACCGGATACTTGACCTCTTAGGACCCGAGCTGAAAACCCGGTCTGGTAAAGAGGTGCCGAGCTGAACCGAAGATTAAAGATGTGCAGAACTGCCGTAGGAACGTTCCCCCAGTCCGGCACCTGGCTCAGTCAGGACAAAAGCCGACCTGGATGGGTGCCGGACAGAAAGAAGACTATTCGCAGTCTCACGAACACTTTCGAGTGAAATGCCGGCCTGAAAATCTGAGAAGGCCGACCAGAGGGAAAGTGCAGGTTTCGATCACTTGGAAGGCCATCATTGGACGATGGGACAGGTAATCATAGCCTAGCACCCAACCAGCAAGCCTAATCAATAAAGTCTACCAGCATTAAATGCCCCCCATGCTGGCATTTAATGCCTGACAGGTAATGATTGAAGAAACCTCAAATCGCATTAAATACATGTCAGAGGACGCCGGACTGCTCTTCAAGGCCACTATGCGACAAGACCGGTGAACAGTAGCTGAACAGTGCCACATTAAAGACTACTATAAATAGCAGCTCATTTCATTGATTTTGGGTTGTTGAAATTCAACTAACTCTACCTTCTCTCTACTTTCCCTCTCTAAAACTGTAAGAAACTCATTGTAAGAATTGTAAGTATATCGCAAGTGCCGACCTCGTACGAGAGGCCGACCTCGTGATCGCCTAATAAAACCATAATTAAACCTAGTCTCACTTTCATTGTCAATCTTTCATTTTTGATATTTATCATTTTAACCGTTGACCGAAAACGCTCGTCAACATAGATAATGAGTATACTAAGTTATAGACTCGTAAAATTGGCCCGCTCGACATTATGGCCCAAGTCAATCCTAATGCCTATCGTCTTTGTTTGCAGGTCCACATTGGCACGTCGGACGTCTTCAATGTCAAACACTTTGTGCCATTCCATGGTGATAATTCAGATGAAGACAAGGTTGCGTCACATCAATGTTGGCGATAAGATTGCGTTGACTTTCCTAGACAAACATGATTGTTTGTCATCTTTAGTTTAATTATTTACTTATGATATTTAGTTAGTCTAGCCTCTTAAGTTGGTACAAAAGTTTATGGTAAGTTGAGATTTCTCGGAGTCCTAGATTTATATTAAATATATTTATAAGTCCTATTTAAGACTCTTATTCTATTATTTGGAGATTTAATTGATTTTAATTGAACTAAAAGAAATTTCTCTTTCAATTTTTCCATTCGTTTACGTTTTTACTACGTCAAAAATAAAAATTAGTCGGCGGTCAATGTCTGAACCAACGTAAGAAGATGTAGCATGTCTGTTTTGCTTAATAAGATGCGACATCTATAATTGATTGCAAATAAAATCACGGATTTTTATTTTTACAAGCAAAAATCAATTTTAGGTATATTATCGAACAAAAACATAACTTATAATTTGATTGCAATAAGTACCCAAAGCTATTTATGATTTTTTTTTTTCCTCTTCAAATTGAATGTGGAATTTTTCATGCCTATTTTGAGATGAAGAAAACAAAAGTATGCAGAATTAAAATTAATTAATGAACAAAAACTAGTTAGAATTTATTTGTATTCACAACTTAGCTTCGGACCAAATTTTTTATTATAATTTAATTCATTAATTTAGTTAGTATACCGGACCAAAATTGCACAAAACATTTAGATAAAGGGGATTACAAGGTTGCCATGTTACAGGGCATTAGATCAATTCTGCGGGAAAAATTCAAAATTAGTTCCACAGGTATAAGGGGTGACAATTTTGGTCCCAACGGAATGCAAAAAAAAAATAAATAGTCCCACAACTTTTAAAAAATGATCAAAAGTAGGACTTTTTGCCGGATTTTACTATTTTCGGCCCAGAATGCCACGTGACGCACACATGGCATATTTTGTTGCATATTTTATGCATACTTGTGGGACCAAAAATGTCACCTTCCTATACCTGTGGGACCAAAAATGTCACCTCTCTATACCTGTGGGACTAGTTTTGATTTTTTTTTTTCATATCCACGTCGGATGCCAATGTGTAAAAAATATATGCCACGTGTGCGCCACGTGGCATTCCGGGCCGAAAAACAATAAAATCCGGCAAAAAGTCCTACTTTTGATCGTTTTTTAAAAGTTGTGGGACTATTTAT